CTTTATTTTGAAGACAGTGGCTACAGCAGCAATGCAACAAGCATATTCTGTTGTTTCTTATTTCATTTCCACAATGTGGTACTCATTTATCAATCTCAGAAGGACGAAAGACGTGTGAGCGTACTCAGCCTCGAACTCGAAATCTCTCGACTCTGAGTCTGACGTTTTAACTACTGAGCATCCTCTATAACATACTATACATGAAAAGACCTATGAAAATAGGGGTTTATATGATAGCAGAATGTCAGTAAATGCGAGTCTCCTAACCACAGATTTTCCGGCTTTCATCATCCTCTTCGTGCTTAGAGATTTACAGTGAACCATTTATTATAGAGGATCAAGAGTAGAAGTACATGATTGGCAGTTTTACAAACAGTTACTTGTTTTCTAGACGATCGATTTTCAAGTCTTTCGAGCGCATCCACGGCAAGAAGGTGCTGGAGGTCGGGGCGGGCACAGGTAAGAATCAGTCAAAAGCGCATTTTTCTTATTACCGTTCACATTTAAAGATCTTTTGGACATTTAGGCATCTTATCCGTGTTTGCCTGCCAAGCTGGGGCATCTGAAGGTAGCTGGCTTTAAAAAACTCATCTTTTTACGATTAAACTACTACGATTATTTTCAGTAATTGCTGTAGAAGCGTCCAAGGTTTCAAAGTTCGCAGAGCTTCTGATAAAGGAGAATCACATGGAGAATAAAATCAAACTTATGAAGATTCCTGTGGAAGTAAGACACGTATTTATGGCATGTTTCTTAAGATTTGACTGAAGTGCCTGATGCTTGTGTAGAATGAGAATACGGTTAAAACTATCCCGCAAGTCTGCCAGAACCTTAAAAGTTCGGATCTGGTTCACCGCCACTGTTGGACCCAATCCAGGTGTGAAAGGATGAGGGTTTGGGACGGTGGCTATACCTCCCGTAAACTTAGTCACATGCCATTCATGGTATTGCCGTTATCGAACATTACACCGGCTCGATCGGTATGGCTGTTAGGAAACTGAGGCAGGCTGCGAAAATTCAGCAATTAGAACCTGTTCAACGCATTCTGACAGCCACGGCTGCCGAAGATCAACAAATAACGACGAAAATACCGTTCTGAACGGAGGAGGCAGACAATGCTATTGTAGCACTTCAGAAAAAGGCCCATTGGAACGACACGGACAGTGGGAGCTTACAGTCAGAAACAGATCCTCACTCAAGAGAGAAGGAGTAGGCACCAGTTGCCGAGGCCGCAATGAGCACTCTGGATGGAAGCTGCTCTACTCAGGTTTCGATTTCATGACATGCTTTTAGGTCAGTGTTGGGGTTTTCATAAAACCAAATCTGCCTGACAGAATCATTGAATAGAAGCCTCTCAGTGAATAAATGGCAATAATCCGGCTGAAGTTGCAACAGGGTAAAGCAGTGACGTTGTTACAGGACTATCCGCTGAATTTTGACGAAGAATGTCAGTCTTGGAGGAAGTACAAGGTTCTTTGTACGAAGTGCCGAATGCGGAGTCCCACATGCTCATGTCAGAGTAGACGCTGGAAAAGTGGAACGGCGTGATTGGAAGAAACGACCCTAACGACTTCAACGATTACGGCATGAAGTTGTTGCGGTTTTTTGCAAATAACGGATTCTCCATTATGAACATCTTCGAGCATCGAAGAGTGCATCAGTGTACCTGGTATCGGGAAGCTTGTGCACAGGAGTCGATGATCGATTTGATAATCGTATCGTCTGGCTTAAGACGCTCAGTAATGAATGTTCGTGCTAAGAGAGGCGCAGAGCTATCAACCGATCACCACCTTGTTGTTGGCACGCTGTGCTGTAAGAAATGGTGTACCATACGAAGATTCGGTGGCAGAAGCAACCGGAGAATCAAATGGGAAACATTATCTTTAGTGGACACGAGAGCGAAATTTGCAAACAACGTCGCACGACGGTTTGAACATATGCAAGTGATGACCGCTAGTGGCTATCCTGAAGACATTAGTGAACTGGAGAATGGGGTTTTTACCCCTGTTCGAAAAAGGGACCATAGGAAAATCTCTAATTATGGGGCT